TCACATTATCATAGCCAAAAAAAGTGCACCCATGCAGACAGGGTGTAAAGCTCATCTATTATCCAGCTGACTCCTCTCTGACCCCGCGATGATGAGTGTGTACGATGAAGCCTGTCCTTATATCACTCACGACTGGTGTAGGCGTGTGTGCTTGTGTACACTGGGGTGTTTGTGTTTTTATGAAAGTGTGTTGGAGAGCCTCCCTTGCCTGGTCAATAATTAAAGTTGCTGCTTTGTAGGAGGAGAGTGTGGGCATAACCCACATTTAATCTAGCCCTATTAGGCAGAAAGGAAGGCAGAGGAGCCATCCTCATTTATGATACATGAGGGTTGGGGTTGTTTTTATTTGGAAGGAAGCAGGTGTGAACACAGTCATAACATTTCAAAAATACAGACACTGTATCTGGGAGAATCACAACACAGGTGAAAAGGGGAATTCAATATTTCTATCACAATAAATTGCCGTTTAAACAGGAAGTGGAAAGGGTAAAACAACAATTCAGAATATTAGAAGAAAAACTGTCTGTGTCTCGGTAATACTGCAGTATCATCTACAAAGGCAGCAGTCTAATAATAAGTTATTGGAGCCAATTATTTTTCCATACAGAGGAGACACACAAACTCTCTTTTCACCCATCTTTATGTTTTATCAACGCAAAAATATAATGCTGTTACTGATCTCCTTCAATAGTAACATTCACACGTTAGATTTCCCTGTATGCATGTGGAGGGGCAGAAAAACACTGGCTGCCTGCATGCATGGTATGTGTGTGTTCGGTCTTGACTTTGAAGTATATGTTTCTCCATTCCAATTAGGTCTGAACTTTTTACACAGATCACATTAAGACACTCCAGATTACTTCCCAAAATCTGCCTACCCAAGACAGCGTGATTTAATTGGCTGCTGTTAATACACAGATTAGGAAACTCTCTTTGCATCTTAATCCTCCCCGCTCGTTTTCCCTTGTCGTGGAATGGGGAAGGTGTGTGAGAACAGGTTAGCCGATAGCAGGCATTCACTGTATAGGATTAAACTTGCAAGGGCAACTTTAAGCCTGTCTAATTTGGTTGTTAGAGAGGTGGTATATTAGGCAGCTTGTGATTGTTATATACTGAATAAGATGATGCAGAAGCTGGATTTCAGTTATTTTAATGTTAGGTTTACAATGTGCAGCTCAGATGCATCAACATCACTATAACAATATACACAATGGGTGAAGGATATTGGAAATAAAATAAATTGGGAACCTGACTGCAAGAAATTAAAAAAGTCAATATACTTTTTGTTCTTTAATAAATCAAGATGAACAAAAATTCAAGGGAATTATGACTGTTTCGCAGTGTTGTGAAGTTAGCAGTTACTTTGGCGTAACCCAATGCTCAAATAATAGATCAAATAATAAAATAAATAAATAGAATATCAAAAGAACTGCAAATGCGCACCGTGTCAGCTCACACTTAAACTCAACGTGTTGACAGTGTGAATGAAAACTACAAAAATGAGCAAATATGTTAGTTAGAATTATTGGATAATGGTTAAAATAGCTCAAATTGTTGGACAAATAGTTATAATGCTTAGCTGAAACTAATGCTAAACATTAAGGTATTGCATGAGCAGCTAAAATAAATAGCGACCTTAAGGGGTACCTTATTTTATCTGACAGGGGTGTATGGTAAAAATAAAAGAAAGTTGGTATTAACTGTTATGTTTCACAGTATATCAGCGTTTCAAAGTTGAGTCCCCTGTCTGTTATAAAGTAGAACTGTGGATAATGTGGATGCCTTATTACTTGTATCATGTCAAAGTGTTCGACATGATGCAGTCTAACCCTGGAACTTGTAAACACTTCCACATTTGAACAAAAGAGGGAGCAGTGAGGAAACACACCGTCCCCTCAACTTCAGCAGACACTGAAGCCTTCAAATCTGAAGTGACAGCTACTTTCAAAGCATGAGTGTTCCTCTTAAACTATGAAATACTTTTTCGCAGAAGATTTGAAGAGATGCTATTTCCATGCCTTTGCCTGAACAGGTAAATCAGAAAATTCACATACAGTTGAATAAAAAAGCAATAAAAGCGCCTGAAGAGCTGGGCTGCTCAATTGAGTGAACTGTGTGAAGTGGCATGCACTTCAGACACTGCGCTACGTTGTCTCTCTGCTGACAAATAAAGGACGGATGTTCATAAAATCTCTTAAAATCCCTGAAGGGTTGCTTCCAAAGTGTTTGCATGTTTTAGGTTCAGTGTGTTATTTATTCATGTCCCAGGTGAGGTGTCAAATCCATTGTTTGTGTATACTTGTCAGTTAAGTGGATGTCTCCTATTTAGTTTTCTATTTAATATTAAACTTGGCACCCTTTCTCACAAAAGAAAGCTTTAAAATCACTGAGGTTTCAAAAAATGCATTTATATTTCAGATCTAAGTCATTTGATCTCACATACAGCCATACAGGTATGCAGGTCTAAACAGCCAGCCTCCATTTCTCAGGGCTCTACCCATACATGCCACACCTGGTACACTTTGTTGTCCCAGAGTATACTACTCACATCTTCTACAAAGAACACAGATACATCTCTAGGGAGTAACCCAACCCTGAAAGAATCTGCTCCTCTTTTGAAAGCAGCTCTTATTCATTACTCAAGCACGCCATAACTACACACACTTACGCACAACTATGCATTATCATTGTTCCGTGAATGTTGCAACTCATTCAATCGAATGCTTTGCCAAAGAGGAAATTACCTACTTAACTTTTCCTACTGTACATGTACAGTACCTCTGTAGGTCCTATGCAAGAAGTCTCACCTGGAGCTTTCCATGCGATTCATCCACCCACTGTGCAGTGAATAGGTGTACACCTGTGGGTACATGCACAGACGAAAGGGAGAGCGATCCAAGACTGGAACGAGTACACGCTTGTGTGTAAGCAAATGAGTGAATGCATGCACTTCTGTGCGCTAACAAGACTTGAAGCAGTACGACTGAATTCTAAATTGACATGCCATTTAGTGCATGTACTGTTTCCTCTTGAATTCTGACTTGATACATATGCTGTGTGGGTAAGTCATGCCGTGTACAATGTGAAATTGACACTACAGGAGGCACTAAAGATACTCTAGTATCAACCAACCTGTACACAGACTGCATAATAAATGGTTGTTGCTAACTGAAACTATTCATTCTTGTGGGCATTCAAATATCAAGGTCTGACTATACACCAGCAGACGGTGTCTCTTCATTTCTATGCATCCAGGCCATGAATGTAATGCTAGCCTCCTGGCACACAGGGCAGCCTACCTCTCTGTCTCTTTGTATGGCGTACATGTGACAATGGCACAATAGAGCGCGGGACAATAGGCCACTTATTGACTGACTGGCTGGGAGTGGGATACATCCCAGATCGTCTGTCACTCTGCAGCCTCGTGCACCCAACGGCTCATTCAGTGTCAGGTTGCACTCTCCTGTGTCCAAGAGGCGAAGGCTGCCATATTGGAAATCTGGGAGAGGTCACAGGGGTCAAGATAAAATACACACAAAATAGAAGGGGGGGTTGATTAAGTATTTTAATTGGCCTTAACTGTTTAATTTCAATGTTGTGGCTGATTTTGTATCATATAGGAATGTAAAATGAATAGATACACCAATTGTCAAATGTTTGAACCACAAAAAGCCAATTTAATTTAGTAGCTTAATGTTATTTAGCAACACCTAAATCATGTTATGAGTAACAGTATTTCGTCAACATGTTTTCTAGTATTCCTAGATTGGGTGTGCTGTTAGTGAGTGTGTGTGTGTGTGTGTGTGTGTGTGTGTGTGTGTGTGTGTGTGTGTGTGTGTGTGTGTGTGTGTGTGTGTGTGTGTGTGTGTGTGTGTGTGTGTGTGTGTGTGTGTGTGTGTGTGTGTGTGTGTGTGTGAAAGCAGTCACTATCAGCTGCTGAGATTTTCCACCTTGTCACTGTCAGCTGACTATTAGTCATTGCTCTCAGCTAAACTGATTCTCCCTAGGATCTTGAGCTTTCTACCTCAGATGACTGCCAGGACCTGCAGGCCTTTTGACAGCTTCTTGAGAACTCAAAGTAAAGATGGTGTGGTGTCCCCAGCATGTGATATTAAACATAAGGTTAAGCTCATGGGATAAACAATAGCCACCAGTGATGTAAACATTACATTATCAAATACATATTTAATACTCACTTTATCAATAGCAATACTAGTAATACTAGGAAATAAAAATACTCGGTTATAAGTAATAATCCATCTGTAAAAGTCTCTTTAAATTTGATTAAAAACTTCAAAGGTATTGTAGGGAAAAAAAACTTAATTGAATGTGTTGTGCGGCAGGATTATCCTGTGTGTGTTATAGCATTACGAGTTACATTATTATATTATCATAAGTAATGCATAAACATGGGTTTAATCAAAAATGTTTGGGTTTATGCACTTCCTGGACTCAAAATATACAACTACAGCTGTCAAAAATAGTGGAGTATAATCAAAAGATTACTAAAGTAAAATACAAATGACCCAAAAGTGTAGCCACCTTATACATTCTTGAACGTTTAGTGATGTGGTCGAAAGTTGAAGTTCATTATTTTTAACTAATGAGGGTTATTGCAGCTTACTTTTTTGAGGGATGTTTAGCTAAGGAAACACACCAGCTAAACCAATGATTTACACTTTTATAAATTAAATAAAGAAAATAAAAAAAACATGCAGTGTCTGGAATTTGCTATGCTGCTATACATATATCCAAATACACTCACTACACTTACTTACTTACACTGAACATGGCATATGTAGCTATACTGTGCACTCTCACGCCCTAGTACTGTCAGTGAACTTGTAATTCAGTCTCAGTTTGCAGAGCTCCGAGCCCTCTCATATTTTTGCAATAAGGAGTTTACAAACGCCCCCCCCACATTTCACTCTCTCTCTCTCTCTCTCTCTCTGAAGGTGGGGGCAGAGAGCTATTAGCTGTGCGCTGCAAACATCATTAGGAGGGGAGACGCTTTCCACCGCCAGCGCCGGAGCAGAGCAGGGGAGCCCTGGCAACAAGGAGAGACACAAACTCAGCAGCCCGTTACACCCTACAGTAAGTCACACAAAACTCCTCATTCACTACTCCTTTGACCAAGATGTCAATGCTTTCGCCATGCCACTTTGTCTTTCTTTGGAGCTGTGAAGAGAAAATGGCTGGAAGAACTGGGCAGGGTGGCGCTGACGCTTTGGTTTACTTCAAAGCCTCGGAAAATGTTTACTTCGCCCTCTGACCTATTTTTAAGTGACCAAACAGCACGGGGGCATGCGGGCTTTAGGTTGATGTACTTGTCATTTCGGGACGTACATGCAAAGTAGTGTTTAAGTGGGGCGAAAGAGAGCGGAGGTTTGGCTGGATTCTGACCGAGCAAGGAGCGCGTTCGCCGGCAGAGCTGGTGTCGGGCAGCCGCTGTACTTTCAGTAACTGCGCCACTCGACCTCGGCTCAAACATTTGCTCTTTGTAGGATGTTTTGTAACGCTTATCATTGACATACACTGCTAAATAAGGTTGCTTCGCGTCGTATAGGTGTTATGTTGAACTATTTTCTTACTGATAATGACTGTCAAAGGCAAGCAGTACATTTTTATCTACGTTTCACCATCGCGGAAGTGTTTTCTCTACACGAAAAGAGACGAAGTACAACTAACCACACTCGCATAATTTGTCAAGTGTTTGCGAAAATGTTGTTACATATTTGTGTTTCATTTTTAGACCGTTTATAAGGATTGTTGCGTATGTTATATCTACTACTCAGTGTTTTACATTGCCAGCTGGTTGTAAAGGACATAGGGCTTGTGATTGCTGGACTAGCCGTGATGTCATTCATCCTAGCCTGGACCATTATATAACGGGACTGTAGGGAAGCCTGTGATAGCAGGCTATTTTTACTCTGTTTACACCTTGGAGTTGCACTCAGGGTAGGCTATGATTCCCAAGTGATAGCCTAGGTTTTCACTCGCATTATGAATTTAATATGAAATCCAAATGAGACCAAGTGACAAATGTAGAGCTGCTAAAGATGAAAAGGTGCAGTTCTACTGGCAGCTGCAAATTTACTCTTTGAAGTGTTCTCCTTTAATGGTGAAAATGCAACTTTTTGCTATGTGAAGAATTTATTTTTCGCAGTTTTAATTGTTTCTTATGTCTTTCATGTTTGAAGTATGTCCTATAACCTATGGAGTTGCCTTCCCTTAAGCAATTCAACCTAGAGTGCCTATGCACTACACACATTTCTTCATTAATAGCTTTTCACACAACACAGCTTATATGTGAATATATATGTAACCTGAGCTACATGTAAACCCAATCTATTAACAATGTCAACTCACTAGGCACAACAATCAATTTGTATGTGAATGTTTAACATGCTTAGTTATCTTAACAGACTAAAAGAAGATTTCAACTGAAGTTTAAATATTCTGCATCATTTCCTTTTCCCCATTCAACTGTTGCTATACATTACTTAATTCAAGCTTTAAAACAAATATATTATTGCAGTATATTCCCTAGTCTCAGCTACTGTGCACAGTACACGACAAACACATCTATTTATTGCATTAAAAAAACTTGAGAAATATAAGATTTTCATGAAATGTATCCATGCATGCAGCTTCTTCATTGGCAAGTAATACTTGTATTAGTTTATTATGCAAAATATTACAAAAAAGACATAGCCAACACTTTTTGTTTTTGAGATTATGGTTCCCTGTGTTGTTGGAAGCAGATCACAGAAGTAAGAGGGATAGTAAATGGTATGATGGAAATATATGGTAGAAATTTGGGAATTCCTTGTTTTCTAACCGTTAGGAGTGTAAGAAAATAAAGGTACACTCCAGATTGCCAGATTCTTGCCAATACAATTGCTGATGACCAGAGAGTCAAAGACTAATGATAGAGGGATGATACAGCCAAAAGGACCCCATTATGCATCCCTGAGGAATACCATAAGGAGGTCTTCAAGTTATTGTTAATTGATATTTTTGGATTTGTTTCAAGATTCAAGATTGGAACTGTTGTGCTTGTTATTAAATAAATGTGTTCAGAATTGTTCCTGCCAAAAGGGCACAGTTGTTTTAGGATGATTGATAAGTGTTTAAGACTGAAGAAGAAAGGGCTTTGATTGAGTCTATAAGAGGATATGATGGTCAACCTAAAGGCTTTGTGATAGGAATAAATGAATTGTCCCCATAGTGCCTTATCATGCGGTCATGCCACTGTGAATGAGGCACACACACACACACACACACACACACACACACACACACACACACACACACACACACACACACACACACACACACACACACACACACACACACACACACACACACACACACACACACACACACACACACACGTGCACACTGCCACCATATCCTTTGATTCCAGCCGCCACTCACTTTCAAATGGTAATGAGAGGCAATTAGAAGCCAATGTGTCCTAATCACAAGCCATTTAACTGAGCTCGGTTCATTTGTCTGAGTCATATGTGCACACGGACCCAAATCCTCTAACACACGCGAATACACACATCTTCTACTGTAAATCATGCTTGATTTTGGGCTTTTTCTTGTCTCTGGAATTTGCTGCCAATGTAAGGGAAAAGAGGAAAGTCTTAATGTGTGTGTGGTTGGTTGAGAGAGAGAGAGAGAGAGAGAGAGAGAGAGAGAGATCTCCCCAGGGAATGATTGGGTGGAGATTTCCTGGTTGAATGCATTTAGTTACAGAAATGCGAGTGAATGATGGGTAGGTGAGGCAAATGGATCAACCAATCACTGCAACAGGTGTTTGTGTGTCCTTATATATTGGTAGGCACATTCATTAGAATTACAGGTTTTACTCTTAACATTTGTTTTTGCTCTGCCAGATCAAGATGTCTTCATGTGAGTACAGGTAAAACAACAAAACATGCTGTGCACTGAGTCATGCAAAAGCTTCTGGTGGTGTTTAGTCGCTCTGAAAGACAATAGTAACCAGAGAAAATATTTTATTAATGATCATCCATCAAATGAGAGACTCTTAAATACATCACCACATCAATAAGAAGTTCATCAGCTCTTATGTGTAGCCAAACCACAGCCCTAACACAACGTAGACACTTGCTATAATTACTTGTTGTATTTAAGAAGAAAAACACATTCAGACACATCTAAAGAAAATGTGTTTTAAGCAAGCTAAAACGTTGAGCATATTGTAGGGCTGCTCGATTATGGCAAAAATCACAATCTCGATTATTTGGGTCAATAATTGTAATTGCGATTATTAAATGCGATTATTCATTGACTTTGAAAACATCCATTTATTGGAGAATTTTTTTTGAACAGTATGTTTTTAACAGTTGGTTACCCTGAACTTTAAGAATAATTCAACTGAAAAACCAAAAAAATAAAATATATATATATAAAAAAAAAGAAAAAGTAATAATAAAAAGATAATCGTTTTATTTCGATTACGTTGTTTTCGTAATCGTTGCAAGCCATAATCGTAATCGCGATTTAAAATACGAATTGAGCAGCCCTAGCATATTGATTAGATATTGCTTTCCTGGTAAATATTTTCTAGCACTTTTACACCAAACAAGTGCTTGATGCGTGATCATTTTCATTTCAATCTTTACTTCGAACAGATTTAAAAAAAAATGAAAAAAATAAAATAAAATGTGAAAAACAGAATAGGCTACCGTATTGTTAAAATACAGTATTTATCCACATTCATGATAATATTGATATATTAAAAAAAAAAAGTCTTCATATTAATAATAATAATAACAATAAATCATATGTGTGCGAAAGGGAGCAGGAGGAAGCAAATGCTTATATATGAATAATGAAAATGATGTCACACACGCCTGCAGTCACAGGTGAATCCCTGTTCCTCAGTCTTCTTTTACCCAAGCTGGAAAGAGGAACAGCTGTGTGGGCAGGTGTAGGTGTGAGAAAAAATGATTTTGAAATAGTAAAGAGGGTGGGTTTGGGGGGGGCAGATCAAGAGATTGAGCTGTCTGGTTGAACCATGCAGTGCGCTCAGACCTTTTCAGCTTTTCCTTTCATCCTCCTCTATTCATGAGTGCACTGAGTACACATGCATGCACACAGGAGAAAGGACACCCTCACACACACAGAAAACTGCTTTTAAAGGGGATCAATGAGAGTTTTTTGTATTTTGTGTGAAAGAACATTCCGCTGTGTGGGATGCTGTATGCTTTTATTGCTTAGTGCACAGTCTTGTGTTTCTTAGCAATAACAATTCAACTGAGATGGCAGGCACTTGAATCGCCAATTTATCTCTGCAGAGTGGAAACACGTCGTTGGTGATGTAAGGGTCAACGACTATCACTGAACTTCATCACTGCGCTTGTTGAAGTCCCGCTAATATCTCATAATTGGATCGAAATGTTCATTTTAACATTCAAAGGGAGTTTATCACTTCACAGGACTTGTAGATCTATATTTTGTGTGTGAACATTAGAGTGCATTGTGTGCATTTGCTGGCTTTGTGATCCTGTTTCCATGCTTAAAGTCATTATTTTGAAGTGGCAGAATAATCAATACCGATCTTCTGAATGACCAAGGCAAACCCCAGATTCTGAATGAGAGGGGAGAGAGGGGACTAAAGCCATTCTACAAATTGTGTTACATTGTCGGGTCGATAAGCCTCTGCATGGCTCAATAACCATGTGAAAAAGGGAAGCTGGCTTTGGGACTTAGTTCAGCCGTGTGTTGGCTTTGGCTCCGTAATGGCTGCCAGTGTAGCTGACATGATATACAGCTGTCTATTTGCCAGGGAGGTTGCTTCGAAAGACTACAGTGAACTTGTATAATGTGTAAATTATGATGATTAGTGGGCAGATAAAAAGCTTTTAGGCTACACATTTGAGTTCCTGCATCAAATTGAATCTGAGGAACTCATCAAATGGATTAAAATCCTCCGAGCTGCTTCGTAAACCGTCTCTAGAAAGAAGATTTCTGTGCCAGCCTGGGCTTTACATCAAGTGTGATACCTGATGTAAGCCATCATGCAATAGTTAATTCAGTGTGCTGCTCTTGTGATCTCT